CAAAACGACCACAGAACCATGAAAACCAGTTGAATGAACTGGTTTCAGGTCTTTAGGTTTTGTTTTGTTCCTTCATGTTCTGCTGACGTCGCTCACATGAAAGCATCTGATGAAAACTTGACTCGTGTGACGTTAATCTTCTGAATAAACCTGACTTCATCTGAATTAGTCTGACTTAATCTGAGTTTACTAGAACTAAACCTGACTTAACCTGAATAAACCTCTTGTCTCGTTGCAGTGGTTCGGCGATCTGGTGACGCCGGTCTGGTGGGAGGACGTCTGGCTGAAGGAAGGATTCGCTCATTTCTTCGAGTACGTCGGAACCGACTTCCTGTTTCCGAAGTGGAACATGGTGAGTTTAACGCTAAACTTTATCATCCGCCACGAGTTTGTCTCGTTTATTAATGTTTCTTGTTTTTGGTTTTAAACGACAGAAACGTGGTTTGTTAGAACGTTAGGAAGACGTTCTGTGTTGGTTGTTTATAAAGTTTTATTATCTGAAGACGCCGTCAGATGGAATCATGATTTAAAATCAGAATTAGATTTTAAACTTGGACCTTCGATGCTAAATCAGTGTTTTATTTTTAAACACTTTTTCTGTTACGATGGACTCGTCTGATATTATAACATAACTAGAATATTATATAGTTATTGTGTATAGTTTATATTAAAACATGTTTTTATATATATGTCCAAAAAAAGTGTTTTAATTGTTGAACATTTCTGTATTTTTATTGGATTTTTAAAAATGATTTTAGCTTATTTTACAGAACTTATTGTCACCCAGGCTGCAGGAATATGATCTTTTTAAATTACTATTATTATTTTAATTTTTACTGTTTCACAGTGTAATTATGTTAATTAACTCGGTAACACAACAGCTCCTTTTAAATATAAACTCATCAGAACAACTTAATTTTAGCCGTAATCAACTTAAACACATTAAAATTAACGACCAAACATTAAATGAGTAAAAACATGTTTAATTAACAGAAAAACTAATGAATCTTATTCCCTGAATCAGTTTGTTGGTTGAACACAGACGTTGTCATGAAGCTAAAACATTCAGCTGTTGTTTTTGTTTGTTTGTTTTGGAACAAACATGAATGTGTCTCATCAGGATTTGCTTCTGTTTTGGAGGGAAAACAAACAAACATGTAAATCAGAATTTAAGGTTCTATTCAGTCCAATCTCAGAAGAATCAGAAGTGAAACAACCAAACACAGAGAGGTTCTGACAAACTTCTGGGTTTCTCTCGGCTGCTGGTCCGGAGCTCATGAAGCTTCATGTTTGTGCTGCTGGAGGTTTCAGCTCAAGGCTTCGGCCCAGTTCA